ACCACATCCAAATCTGAGGGTCCTTCCTCTAGTCCTGGAAGATGTTAGCAAACTCAGTAGTCAACAGATCAAATATCAACAGTACAACGATTGAAATTTCTTTTGAGAGCCAAATTTTTTAAACTTAAACTATATAGGTAGGTACATTGTTATTAACTTAATTAGGGTGCTCCTAAGCTGGTCTTTGCTAAAAACATCCTCAATCTGAGGGGTTGACCTCAGCAAATGTACCCCCACTTCTTCTAACGCCACTTCTTCAAAATAGACTCGACCAGGCCGAAAACCAACTTCTGCGCATGGGCTACGAAGTTTCAATCGCACTGTACATGCATGCCCACAAGTGGTACTTTGTGGAAGAGCCACACTCAAGGGGCCAAAGAGCCACATGTGGCTTTGAGCTGTGGTTTTCCAACCACTGCTCTAGGCTACAGCACAAGCATTTTCACAGAGAGTGCCCACTGAGGGCGCATGCTCAAATCCAGGGGATTTCAATGGCTCTTCTCCCGTAGGCTTCCTCCACTCTGAAGCTGATGGTGCCAGAGGTTGGCCATTGACTCAAACACTGACAATAGTCATCAGTTTTTACCACCTGAAGCAAGAGCAGACTGTTTACTCTGTGCCGGATACCCCACTAGCGCTTCACCAGCATTATTCCCTTAAAGCCTCAAAATAGCCCATGAGTAAGGAATTACTTCCATTTTACAGATGGGAAAACCAAGGCACAGACAGACAAAGTAAGCTTCCCAAGGTCACAGCCAATGGTGGAACCAGGATTTGAACTGGGGGAGTTTAATTGGAAATAAAGCTAGGCACTGAGGCGAGAGAACATCAGGTACAAACCCAGCCTTCAGCGAGAGGAAATCTAACAGGGAAGGAATCATGATGACCTTGACTTCCTTCCAGGAAGAGGGACCAGTCCCAGAAAGGGCTGTGGAGACTAAAGCAAGTCTTGCTTCAGGTGGTAAATGCAGGAGCTTGAAGGACAGGGTCAGGCACCTGGGCTGTTAGGTGGATAGTGAGTGGGAGGTGCTGGTGAGTGTGGTGGGGCTGGTGCTCCATGAAGGTGTTTTCAGGAACCCAGTGTGGGTGGCTCAGAGGCAGGAGAGCCTGGGAGAGGTGGGGGTTGGAGTGGGGCAGTGCAGGAGTGCTGGGTCTAAGAAGAAGCAAGTATTCTAGTCTTGGGTGACAGTGGAAATAAAGGGAAGCGTGGAAAGACGGGGTAGGGAGTGGTGCCAGAGCCTGAACAAGTGAGTATGAGGCATGGTGGGAGGCCCTAGTGGAGCTACATGGAAATTGGAGGAGGCAGGAGGGGAAAAGGGCTGTGTGGGGAGCAGAGGCTGGGCAAAGAGGAAGCCACAGGAAAAGGGCGAGGAGGGTGCCGGGAGTGACCTCTGTGGGACGCCCACATTTAGGGCAGGAGGAGGCAGAAGAGGAGCAAAGGAGACCAAGAGGGGCCAGAAAGGCCCGAGGAGCAGCCAGAGCTGGGGGAGCTCTGCTCTCCGGAGTCAGGTCCTGCTGTGTGGCCAAGATGGAAGGGACACCAAGAGTGGGCTGGGCGAGGTAAGGAGGAAAGGGGGACACGTGGTGCAGAAGGAAGCCCAGCAGAAGGGAGGCCAGAGGAAAGGCTCAGATTGGAGCTGGAGAGACAGAGGTGGCAACAGAGAGGAGTGATGGGGAGGGAGGGACAGTTCTCCATGGGACACATCCATGTAGCTTAGGCTGCAGACAGGCACTTGTCCACACAAGGGACTGAGGGACTTGGGGGCCTGTGGAGAGTACCTTCCCCCAACTCCTCTGCCCAACAGCCTACCACTTCGGTCACGCCATCACAGCCAGTTGCTGGAGGAAAAGGGTGGGTGGGTCACCAGGGTCATCTGTGTCCAAGATGTTGCCCTGTGTTTGCTTCAGCATCAACACTCCTCCAATGGTGGCAATTGTTGTTTTTGTTGAAATAATGATAACGCTGTTCATTATTGATGAACCCTCTAGATGCCCCTCCCAGAGGCCAGCCCAGGCACGGCCCCTTTCTCCCCACAAGGATGGGACAGCACCCTCACCTCTGACGGTGGCCAGCAGGAGGAGGCCGATGATCCAGGAGGACAGCATCTACATGGATGAAAACACAGACAGTGGGGACCATCGCCCAACCCAGACAGGGCAGGGGGCCTGGAGCCCAGGGAAGCCCGGTGCCTGGGTCCTATCGGGCTGTCACTCCAAGCGGGGACCCTGAGGCTGAGGCCTCCCCACACAGGGAGTCGGCAGCACCTCTGTGGAACCCGGATGCAGGATCCTCCCAAAACAGTGGCTGCACCCTCTGGGCCATGTCCCTCTGGCTTCCCAACCCTGCCAAGCGCCCTACCCGGGCAGAGCCATGACTTACTGTGTGACACCTGTGCTCCTCTCAGCCCTCAGGTGGCCGAGGCCTTTTATAACCAGGCTTTGTCCTTTGGACCTTAGAGGAAAAGACAGGAAGATAGATAAGTGTGCTTTGCACCGAGATTATCATAAACACATACAGTCAGCTCAGCGGGGAGGAGAGCTATTTAAAGTGAAATCGGAAGGAAAAAAGAAAGACTTTAGGGACAGGTGTTACATTGGAAATCAGTAGGCTAAACAAAGGACACCTTAATCAATAAGTCAAATTTGGAGTCTTCATTGCGCCGGCGGTCTCAGATGAGTTATCTCCAGAGTCTGAGCAAACTAATATGGAGGAAGCTTTCCCTTTATACCTTCCCAGTTCCTTTGTCTCC